GTAACATTATAACGCCCCCACGGCTGAAAGGGCGAGCATGTTTGGTGTGACAGGGATTCGAACCCGCGACCCTCAGATTGCGAGTCGTGTGCCTCTAGAGTTATTAATTAATAAAATAAACGACACGCCTTTTAAGACTTTAAAAAGTAAAATACATTCTGTTAGGTGCAAAATTTGTTTAAATGTCGCGCAAAACTCCCCGAGGGTTATCTGCGCTAGTCGTCCCTAATTTTGAAGTGATAGACTAGAGGGAATACAGACAGTCAACACCATCCACCGCCAACTCTTGGGCTACATTTAACCAATGAATAGTGGGATTAACCGTCATAACACCCTCATTGAAAGCGCGAGCATGTTCGGTGACGGGTTTCGAACCCGCGACCCCGTAGTTTGCGAGTCGAGGGCCCTAACCATCAGGCCATGCCAACCTTCAAACTAAAAGTACATAGCATACAACCCACGACGACGGTGGTGGTTGTTGTGTTATCATACGAACAACTTGAATTTATTGTTTTTCTAATAATATAATAATTTTATCATAGCTTTTTATTGAAAATTTCCAAAGGTCTAGATTTTATTAAGGTCCACGCTCTGTTGATAAATTTCAAAACTTTACACTTATAAATACTTTAATTGTAGCCTGCTGTCAATTTATTGTAAAAAAAAAATCTCAGATAATTTTTATGGGTAAAGAAACTAGTTTAATCAATGTCAATAGTCATTTTAGTGGTCTTATACTCACCAGAGGATTTGAAGAACACTACCAAGTGTAATAAATAATTTATTATTATAAACTATTCAGTAAACAAGATACTAAAAATATACATGAAGCCTAATCTATTATTGGATTCGCCATTTGACATTGAGATATACCGATTTCGGGGAAATTTAATAATGCTTTTTCAAATCAGATTTTTCAAACTTCTAAACAAGTCCATCATAAAAAGGGAAGTAACTTTTGTGCTGATCTGCAATATAACCAAACATCTTTTATAATTTTTTAACGTTAAAAATTAGGTTTCGACACCCGAGGTGGGCAGAGAACAGATAGATAATTGTGTAACTTTATGCTTTGCAACAAACTATGTAATCTCGGTGTTTATTGTTGCAGACGATAACGTTTTAAAACTTAAATATATTTGATATAAAATATGCCTTTTCTAAAAATGAAACTTTACTACTCGTATATAACTCGTAATTTCTTAAGTAGAACGCGACATGACGGCTGGCCTAGTAAACGCCTACCGCATTTCGACTGGCTATACATATGCCGTATCAGGGCGCTGAGACCTGATGGCGACAAAATGTCGCAGATAAAGCAAAGTAACACAGTGTCCCAGGTAATCTCTAGATAAGAATGAATTTCTAGTTTGTACGAAAGGTGTTTTAAAAACACTCGAAACCGTAGATTCACACGTGCGTTCGTTGCTCCTGAAGGATTACCTCTAAATGACGAATTACTCTAAATTTATCCTTCGGTTGGGAGGAGCTAAATCTAAAGTAGTAATTTGAGCTCTTATTTGCGCAACAATCGCTTCAGACACCAGCGCGCCAAAATGTCTAGACGTGTACGTAATACACGTAGCCAATAGCTGCAACGAAGAGACCTATCTACCACATCCCTCACACCGTAGATGAGTCTATTCGGTGATAGGGGGAGGGGTATCTGTATAACCAGAACGTAAAGTACTTTTATAAAATCAGAGATTAAGGAATTGTTTACTTTAATTCAGTCACTCTTACAAGTCAGAAAGTATAATCAATTTGAACGCTAGATGATATAGGATTATTATATTTAGACCAAGAAAATTAACTTATCCTTGATAGCAGTATTGTTAGTTCCCCCTTCGGACGAGTCTACTACGCGCAGAGGTTATTCAGGCTTAACACGACAAACTGCTAATATGATCGAAGTACGTAGCGTAAGCTAGATGTTTGAAATGAAACAGTGACAGTGTAGACGTCTGTTACACGTGAAGTTTAACAACTTAGATTTGTGTAGCCGTCATAACTTCATGAACATGGAGTGTGTGTGTATGATCCAGAGTGTGGATTTAGTCCTGTACGTGTAAAAGTTTTAAATCCATTTGTTTTTGAAGGGAAGGATAACACGCTTGTTTTCTAATTTTGTTTATAAAGTTACAACCTGAATATTACAACCTCGGAATATTCGTTAGTTGATACAGCGGTTACCTGGGAAATAGTGACCTTTCCGTGTATGAGATAATCATTATTGCAGACAACACGGGATTGAATGTTACTACGAGCTCGGAAGCAGAAGATTCGCAGAAATTATGCTGCGCGTTCATGTTTCGGCCTAAGCGGAACGCTTTAGTGAAACGGTTGTGGAAATATCGGATAGTAAACAACACTGGTGAAGATGAAGCCGCATGTGCGCTGGAAAATCATGAAGACTTTGAGATGAAGTCTGTTGTTCATTCAGTGTTGAAACGTTTAAAAGAAGCCCAACTCGAGAAGCTCGTGCAATCTGTGGAGAGTCGCGGGGCAGATATTTCAGACTGCGTGCTGGTTCCACGCGGAAACCTACGTTTTGGACGTCGGACAGCGGCGCCCCATGTGCTATGCTGTCAGCTATGGAGGTGGCCTGAAGTCCGGCATCCATTCGAGTTAAAGAGGCTTCACTGGTGTCAAACTGCCAACGACCCTTTGTACATTTGTTGTAACCCTTATCACTGGAGTAAACTGTGTGAACCGGGTTAGTATGTGTAAACATTTAGTGTAAAACTGAACAACATGTTTAAAATTGGCCAAGTTGAAGTTGATACCACTTTGAAATCACCAGTAAATGATTGATTAGTAGGTTGTTACTAAGTTTAAAGACATATAATAGAGAAGGTTTTACAGTTCTTGTATATTTTAAAGATAATACAGTACATATTGTCCATTTTCAACTTATACATTAAACTTCACGAGAGGTTTGTTTTTATGGAATCGGTTCAGGCATGCTTGGGTTTTAAATAACAAAAACAGTTCTGGAGACAAGCTTATTTACTAAAAGAGTAGTTTACTACTGATGGTTGTTTCTGTTACTCATAAAAAATTAATGCAAATATTCTAATTAATTTTTTGTAATATTTAAGGAAATCAAAGAGGTAATGCATTTTATTAACTTTTAATTTCATTATTTCACAGTATTCAGTAATTTGGCATGTTTATATATATTGTGCAAAGTTTTATGAGAGGGTTAGAAATTAAAAGTGATAAAAAATAATTATTGATGAGGTTAATGCACGGACTTAGGGGGTCTTCAAAATTAAGTCTTTCACACCTTTATTTTTACAGTAAAATAATACTTGATGAATATCCACTCGATATCATAACCTTAAGCCTAAAGTAGTGCGTGAATAAACATCTTCTGTCTTGTTTATACGAATTGCTTAAGTTTCATAAACTATTTGTGGTGTTTAATTATCACGTTAGGTTTGTGAGGTACAGAAAATAAACTTAATGATTAATGCCCATTTTTAAGAAATTGAAATTGTTGTAGAAACGCGTGACTATCTCGTGTTAGTCTCGTAGACGCCAAACAATTGATTTATTTCATCCCAGTTATTCAGTAGAGGTAAAGGTGGTACTTCTACGTCACCGTGTCGTGTAGGTAATGCTAATAAATGTATCTCTTTCGTATTATAACACAATTACGTTACTAATTGTCAACTCGTTTATAACTTTATTAAATCAGAATTCTTTGGCAAAATTTGGTCGCTTTACAAAAAAAAATTACAGGTGTTTTTTTAGTCAGTTTGTCAGCTTTCTGTTTTCTTTATAAACTGATCATTTTGTTGATGTGTAGAATTTACTTTTGTTGAAGAACTTTCCATGTTTTAATAAATAACTACGTTACATTTTTTGGAAATAATTCGCTTGTCATCGGGTTCGTTAGAAGGGGCTAGACAGGTATCTAACACCCGTGAGTTACTGACTATTAAGACCTGTTTTTAAATAAAGTGCATTACATGTTTAATTGTGGGATCTCGTGGTTCTGGTGGGTTTTTTTTTCGTGAATAGATTAGGTGTAGATCATCCATTGTCAGCATTGCTATTTTAGAAGTCACATCCATGAAATTCCATGATCGTTAACTCATGTTAACTGTTGTGGCTATCCCACAACGTGAATCGGTTAGTTTTAACATCGCTGAGCGAGGTCCGAACATATCGAGCCCCACAACTTTTCTCAAGTAGTGTGTTGAGGAACGGGGACCTCCTGAGCCCCAGTGCCTCGAGCAAGCGACGGAGTGGCGCTGCGATTAGCGTAGGCAGCACTAAAGTATGCCGCGTATTTTTTTCTGTGTTTCAAAAGTTATTCGGTCTTTTTCTTTTTAAGCAAACTGCATTACCCCCACTTAAAACAAGTAGATAAAAATTGTTCTTTTAAAACTTAACTACTAGTGTTCACATGAATCTTAATCAGTGTTTTTAATGTAACAAAATGATCACACGTGACGTATAAAGTTTTATGTCTTCCTTCGGTATTTTTTGTTCTTTCAAATGAAGTATATCATGGAAACAAAGTTAAGTTAGTTTGATGTTGGTCACCTCTGTAAAACTAGGCTATGCTGAACCCAACAGCGCAAGTACTTTCCACTAGAACTCGCTTCTTGGCTGAGAATGTCCTGTAAATGTAGTTTTGCTGGGACTCGGCAGGAGGGAGGGAGCTAGTCATCACCCTTTCTACCTGCCTACACGATCCTCGTGAACGGACAGACAGACGCCAAGTGTGCGTCTACGTCTGCGAATTAGACTACGTAGTAGGGTTGGCGAAACAAGCGCTCATTCAAAGAGAATGCGATTAAATAAACTAAGGGAGGTGTAGTTACAGTTCGGGTGACCCCCCTCGGTGCATACACACACACTCGTTGTAATTTCTAATGATAGGGTTAATCGTAAACTGAGGATACAAATCGTTACAGACAGAAACGGAATTACCAAGAACGTACAAAAACTATTGATAAAATCCGTTTTTACTTTTTCTTTTTTTTTCTCTCTCTCTTTGTGTGTGTATGTATATATATATTACTATCTTCTAAATGTTAAAGCAGCATACTGCATTCTAAAGTCGTCGCTCTTCCGAGTTTTAATGT